CCTACTACTCTGCTGGCTATTTTACTTAGAGCCATACTTATCTACATACCTTTCTTCTTCAGGTCCAACTGTCTCTTGCTCCAGTGCAAAATGACACTTGGCCAGAACAAGGATAAAGCTTCCAGATCTGCTCTAATGCTGTTTTTATGTCAATGTAACTGGACTTGCTAGCTTAAGAAATCCATTGAGATTGCTCATTACCAATTTTTTTTGCTCTTCTTTGAATTTTGTTTCTTACAGATGCACCTCTTCAAACAGTGTTGCTTCATGTCCTGAGTCTAGTCGTGTGTACTTTATTCTAAACTATTTAATGAGAAATTCTTCTGCTGGAAACTTTTGTCCTTTCACCAGTAATCCGACTCTAGATTCAAGGCATAGTAATCTGCTGGTTTATTTCCCAGACAGATCATAGCAGGAAAGGTCATTCCTAAGAAGACATAAAATCTGGGGCATCAAAGATTATTAACAGTTTACTGGGGTTTTCCTTAAATGTGTTGAATCTTCCGTGGTTTAAGTAAGAAAATCCCACATAAAAATAAGAAACAGTGTATAGTTTTTCACTGGAAACAGAAAACTATGGATCTTGATGACTGATTTTGTCCCTGTTACTTCCTTACTTTTTGAACAGATAACTTGCCATGCTGTTGCTTGCGCAGAGACTGCGCGAATTGCTCAACTGGTGGCTCGCCAGAGAAGTTCAAAAAAGAAAGTGGGACGACAAGTAAACTGCCAAATGAGGCTGAAGAACACAGCTCCATTCTCATTAGTAGGTAGGAGTTCATAACACAAACTACAGTTTAATTAATTCTGCTTTTGTCATGGGCAGGTATCAGAAGTCTCCTTTCAGGGACTATTGCTGACTATAAGAGATTAAAAGAATGCACAATCCATGAAGTAGTTTATGTACTCGTTTCAGTATTTATTTCCTTCTAACTCTTGTTGGCATATCATTTTTAGTGTTTGTAAGTCCAGTAGAGATTCAAGGGTTCTCTCTCTACAGAAGAGCTGTTTTTGAAGAGTAGCTGTCTTTTGTTGTTGTTGTTTTTGGGGAGCAGTGGGTATGTGTTTTGTTAAGATTTTCCCTCTTTCTCCTCCTCCTAGTTAGGATCAAGTGTGGATTGACTGGATTTTCAAGACTATTTAAAGCTAGTGGTGGGAAAAATTACTTGGGGGTGCTCCTTCATGGCAGGATTGGGGAAGAGGAAGCAGAGCAGGGTTACAATACATATTAAATCCTTGAAGCAGACTGAGTAGCGTATACTCTTCCTACAGGAACAGTATGTTCTGCCTCTCTGAAAGGTGGAGATTGGAACTTGGAGTCGAGCTGCTTTCATTCTTCCATCCACTTCACTTTTTTTTAAAGTAGGTATCACTATCAAGGGGCAAAAGCATGGAAAAAGAGAATAGCATGCCATACCACTAAGGCCACAGGCTCAAACAGGTTACTCCCAGGAAAGCCCAGCTGCCCAAAGGAAAATATTTGTAACCACATGGTATGGCTTTTAAATAGTGGGAACTCAGCCTCTAACCCAGGAAACTTTTTATCCCAGGACCAGTTCAAGAGCATTCTCATCCTGGGACAAGATATAACAGGGCAGCATGGAAACATACCAAAGCTTTACCTTCAATCTCCTCATTGGAGGGCTGACATTGAAATTATCTCAGTAACAGTGCTGCTTTCATTCCTGGCTGGCTAGGAAGAGAAAGCAGTCTGTTTTAGTCAGCATTGTTTGCTTGTTTTCCAAGTGCTGGAAATTGCTATTCATAAAGAGCCTTTTTTTTCTTTAAGGGTGCTGAACTAAGCAGTTCCACCTTTATCTCTCAAACTAAACGCTCTCAAAAGGCGTGTCCAGATGAGCAGGAGAATTTGTTTCCCCAGGGACAAGTAGCAGCAGCACACCTTGTGCTGCTGCTTCTTGTCCCTAGGAAATGCCTGTGCTGCACGTGCTCTGGCATGTGGCAGGTTACCCCAGGTGTGGTAGGGCAGGCTGGGACCAGCAGCCTTACCTGGGGTCCTGGGAGCCTCTGGGAGCTGCAGCTGTAGTAGGAAGCCTGACCAGCAGCTGGAGCATGGCTCCAGCTGGCCAGACTCGGTTTTGGGCGGTGAGCACTGATGCCACATGTGCTGCCCTGCTTTTTTTTGGTGTTACTTTTCTAACCCTGGGAGATCCCAGGGTCAGCCCCACCTCACATTGCAAAGCAACAGCACAGGGAACGCCTGCCTGTGTGATGTGTGGCGTTGCTGTCCGTGCCCATCTGGATGCACACAAAGGTTCCATTAATGGCTTCTTGACCATAGTCAGAAAATAATTTTGAAGAAGACTCAGTGAGGAAAAAGTCTGGTCGGCAGCTTGGAACTCTTGTTCTTGTGCTAGGAAAGCAATGCAAATTGGCAGGCCACCTCTGCACCTCTGTTTTGGAGGTAATTGCTAATATAAGAAGTTGACACGATTCTTGCATACCCTAAAATTAACAGTGCAGAAATAAGATGCATCTCAAACTTGTTTTGAAGCATTCTACAGAGGCCTGCAAGCCTTGCATGAAGAAGTGCTCATAAAGTGAATGTCTAAAGCAGGAATAGGCAACCCCTGGCACATGTGCCAATTAGTGGCATGCAGAGACATTTTCCTTGGCATGCCAGGAGGTGTGTCAAGGAAAATGTAAAAAACAAACAAACAAACAAACAAAAAAACGGTTTTTTAACAGAGTTGCTGCTCTGGGCTTCCAGAGCAGTGACAGCTCCCAGGGCTATGGCAGGCACCAGGGGCAGGAGAACACAGGCAGGGATGCAAGGACACTGCCTGCATTCTGCTGACCCCACCCCTAAGTCTGTGGTGGTGCGCAGGGGAACCTGCAAAATCAGAAGAGCTGCCACACATCTCATTCCTTCTGACTTTTGCAGGTTCCCTTGCTCGCCCTCCCCTCCCACCACTTGCTGCTCCCTTCTGATCATTGGGGAGGTAAAAACAGTGGTTTTAAATATGGTGCAGTTTTTGCCTCCCAGCTGGTTAGCAACACAGTGCGGCTGCCAGGGGCCCTCAGCGAATTGGTGCCAAAAACAGTGCCATATTTAAAACTTCAGTTATTGCCTCCTGAGTCGTTGGGAGCGAGCAGCAAGGAAAAGAGCCCCTCCACCAACCAGTGGTGGACCTTCAGGAGCACAGGGAAACCTTCAAGATTAAAGGAGTCACTATGAAGCCCACTTCTGCTGGGGTTTTTTTTAATTTGGTAGGTCCCTAATCAGAGACAGAGCTGGAGGAGTTATGGGGGCTATAGCCACCCCAAAATTTGCCTTGGTCACCTTCCACCCCTCCCAGCACTGCCCTCCCCCGCCCCTGGCTGGCACCGCCCCTGTACCTAATCACGGGCTTCCACCATTCCCACCCCCTTCCTGGTTTCTGCTAAGGCTGCTGGCAAGGGCCGAAACAGCTTGCACCACACTGTTGGCCAGGGCTGGAGCTGCAGCAAGCAGCCTGAGCCCAGCCACCACACTGCACAGCAAGTCTCCCCAAGTACCACCTCTGTCTCCGCCTGCCTGCCTGCCTGCATTGTTGGGGTGGGGGTAGCAGGGAGGGGAAGGGAGAAACCAGCAACAGCAGCGAGAGCTGCTGCCTCATGGGCCCAGTGCTTGTACATGCACTTCTGGCAGGGGGGGCTGGCAGCTGGACTCTAGCTGCTGATCCTTGTAGCTTCATCCTCCTCTTTCCCTTCCCTGCCTTTCTTTTTCCTGTTTTGTCTCTCTCCTTTTCCTTTCTCTTTCTTCTTCTCTTCTTTCTCCTCTCTCCTCTTTGTCTCCTTTTTCCCATTTCTTTTTTCTTCCCTCCTTTCCCTCCCCCTCTCTCCCATCTCATCACAACATAGTTAAATACACAACAAGACCTTTTAGAAAACTGGTATTTACTGTAAAAAAAAATAAATAAATAAAATAAAAAAAAAATGTTTATGATTAATATGTAGTGCATCCTGCCTTGTACCGCCCACCCCAGTTTTGTTTTTCTGGCATGCCGGAACTCTGGCACCTTACAAGTTTTTTTCGGCAGCCAGGCCAAAAAACATTTCCTACTCCTGCTCTAAAGCTAAAGACTGAATTGGCCAAAGTGGCTGAGCACAGCTTGCTGTCTGTAAGAGGTTACTGATCTCTGCCCTACACTTGGTGAATATGCGATAGACCCCTCTACCTCAATGGCTTTCAACCTTTTTTGTGGAACCCTTTGCAAATTTCAAATGGAGGTGTGGACTCCTTTGACTTGAAGTGCCCTAGCCCTGCTCCTTTTCTCACTACAGGGGCCTTGATCTGTCCCTTACCTCTCCCCTCCCCTTCCATGACAACAGACTTACCAGCTGGACACAGTTTTCCAAGCTGCCAGGCTCTGCTCCTCACCGCCTACATGCTGCGCTGAAGCTGCATGCATGCATGGGCATTTATCGGCCAAATTACCAGCCACGTCAGGCCGATTTTCTGATTTACAGCCAGTTCTAATATTATAAAAGCATCCGTCTGTCCGTCCGATCAGAGTGCTGTACACAGACATAGACAGATGGTGGAGCACCGTCATGATGGTGGGGACTGAGGGGCTGGAGGGGAGGGGAGGGGAGGGGGGCGAGGCCAGCCCTCCTCCCCTGCTCCTTGGAGGAAGATGGGGACAGCAGGGCCTGGAGCACTGCCATCATGGAGGGAACAGAGCAGAGGGGCAAGGCCAACGGTGCTGGCCTCACCCCCCTGGGTCTGCTCCTTGGAGCCAGGGTGCACTCCCCCTCCCCCCAAAAGCAGCCAGCAGGGAGAGGGGAACAGGAGAGGGGGGGGTTGCTGGTGGCTGCGCTCCAAAGTGGTAGGGGAGGTGGGGAACAGCCCAGACCCCAGCCCCAAGTGATGGGGGTAAAGGGGGAATGGCCTTGGCCCCGGCCTGACATGGTGGTGGGAGGCGGAGAACTCCCCCAGCCTTGGCCTGAAGTGGTTGCGGGGAGGCAGTGAGCAGTCCCAGCACTGGTCCAGTAATTATAATTTAATTTATGCAGATAACAATAGAAAAATAAAAACCAACTTTCTGTTACCTTAGTTTTACGTGTGCTCAGATTTAACCAATAATATTCACAAGTGGGATAAATTTGGTAGGTAGAGGATTTGTTTGCTAAAATAAAGTGAAAAAATAAATGTTGTATTAATATACTCTTGCATTTATGGAAAAGCAAACACTAGTTTCACATTTCTGCACAGTGAAAAGCTTTTATTATTCATGGTGACATTTTATCATTAGTGACCTATATAAGAAATCCAAGAGCGTTGGTTGTTGGTTGTAGTCATGTTGGTCTAAGGACATAGGCAGGCAAGGTTCTGTGGATAACGTGGTATCTTTTATTAGACTAACTAAATAGTTGGAAAAATTATTCTTTGCACCCTTTCAGGCACAAACTCCTGTTTACAGACCATTAACAAATTATTTTCCCCCTGCACCTCCAGGCACTGGTACAAGGACACTGGTAATAGTTTAAACATTTATCTGTCCTTATATTCTTTGGGCTAATGCAGGGGCAGGCAGTTATTTTGGTTGGAGGGCTGCTTACTGAATTTTAGCGAGGTGTCAAGGGCTGCAAGGGCAGCCCTGCCACTTGATAGGTGCCCCACCTCCTGGTCACCATTGTGGGACCAGAAGTCCCACCCCCTAACCCCTGACCTTTTCTACCATAAGTCCCTCCCCTTACCACTGGACATGCTTCTTTCAGCAAGGGGGTTTGCCATCTTGGAACCAGAAAAATACGAAATTATATCCTA